TGCTTTTGATAGAATATATGGTCTAAAAATAAATCTGAATAAAACACAAGTAGTATGGATAGGGAGTAAGAAATACAGTAATGACATTTTATTGCCAGAAGTAAATCTATCTTCAATTGGGTGCAGAAAAGTTTAAGCTCCTTGGAGTAGAATTTCATTTTGATTTACATAGAATATCTAAACTTAACTTTGATAAAAACTTGTGAAGCTGAAATCTATCATCAGTCCGTGGAAACGAAGATCTATTACACCTATTGGTAAAATACATATCATAAAAGCATGGATGGTATCCCAATTCAAACACTTGTTTATTTCGTTACCTAATCCAAGTGAGAGATTTCTTCTTAAACTTAATAGTATCTTGTATGAATTCCTTTGGAATGGAAAGATAGATAAAATTAAGCGAGATATTGTTAAAAATCAGAGAGAGAGAGAGAGAGGCCTTAATATGGTACACTTTGTAATCTATAGAATCTTTAAAATTAAGTTGGATACGGAGGCTTCTTCAAAAACAAGGCAACTGGCTGGAAATATTAAAAACGTATATCAATACTGCCCTTCTTTTTGTGGTAGTGAATATGTATCTCTATGTCAAAATAGAAGTACAGACTTGATTGGAAAGATCTTTTAAGGGAAAAGGAACCATCATTTCTAAAACAGCCTTTATGGTATAATGAGAGTTTAACTATAAACCAGAAATGTGCTTTTTTATCCTGAATGGTATAGATGTGGAATTACTATTCTTAATGACATCATAAAATATTTCAACACCAATAATACTTTCTATACACATGATGAATTTAATAACAAATGCAAAATAAATACCAATTTTGTGCAACATTATGGTATCCTATCCGTAATTAGAAGATATGTTATTCAGAACAATACTTGGCATAATATCATGGTAGATTAAGTGTATTCAATTATGCCTCTTAATTTAGAAATCTTTTACAAAAACACTAAAGGAGGTAGGGACTTTTATGCATTACTTTCTAACACTAAGGTTATTCCAACAGGTAGGAGGAAATGGGGGGAAACGTTTGATATCAGTGACGAAAAATAACTCTTTATGTAATCTAGATAGGGAAACAATAGTTCATACACTGTGGGACTGTCCAAAATTCCCTCTACAGCTTTGAAACATTATTAGTTACTTTAATTATCCCTTTTTCTTTTAACAAGACATATTTCCTCATTGGCATAGTACCACAGCCAGGAGCAAGTAACAGACTAGATGACGAAATTTTAATCATGATCAAACACTATATTTACAAGACAAGATGCCTTCAAAATACTCAATCAGTAAATGCCTTAATTAATACCATAAAAGATCATCGTTTTGTTAAAAAATATATTGCATGTTGCACGGGGGATAATTTTGTAAGAAAGCCAGAAAGGGGATGGAAAAATAGAACACCCTCCTAGAATTATAAGATTAAAATTATGAAAATTAGTAAATATCTTTAATTTTGTAAACATAATACAACCCCTCTGTTTGTTTCTTAGTTTTTATTTCAAATTACTATATATATATATATATATATATATATATATATATATATATATATATATATATATATATATATGTGTGTGTACATTTAGCTAACAAAGGGCTATTACTTTTTTTCTTATTACTCTACACTTATCTAACAGTTATGTCCCTTTGCCATACTTAATCTGAATAACATACAGTTGAACTTCCTGTTTGAACATACACTATAACTTACCTTTATTATAACATGGATTTATTTTTTGTCTGAATGGGTGCAAACCGAACTCATATTTTTTCCCAATTTTAACCCAAAATGTAAATTTTGTCAGACCTATTCATTCCCTGTTTAAGGCCGAAAGCACGATAGTTCTTAAATCATTTATAAACTGATTTTATACCCAAATATATGCCTAGTGATGAGCTACAGTCCAAAGACAAGATTTTTTTTGGCTGTTTTTTTTTCTTTTCCATTTTTTCATAATTTTTGTCTTTCTTTTTTCTTTCTTTGCCTTTCTCCTCCATTTTTCTTCTGTTCCTGTTTTTCTTAATAAGGTAATTTGTGTGTATTTTTTCCATCAGTTAGCATACATGTGAGCTGTGTGATGTCTGAGTGAATATGATATATTATGAATGTAATCAATACCATATATTGCTGAAAATTTTGAATAAAAAAGAAAATTACAATATATATTGTATTTCTAAATAGATAAAGAGTTTTCATAGACATTGGAGTATACCGATAAAGATTAATATCGTACACGATGGTTTGTATTTAACCCAATACATTACGCAGAATAAAGAACCTTGTCATACATAATACATACATAACATTTACAATAGGCAAACAATTGTATAACGGCTATGTTCTTTGTTCTACAGACACACAATGATATGACTAATATGTACTCTACATTACTGGCAATCGTTAGTATTTTAAATGTATTACAAACAATTGTACAATATATACATATCATGTATAACATACAAACAAAAGTATGATGCAGATATACAAAGTATAACAGACAAAGATTCTTGCTTTAAAGAATAACTTGTCACATGTGTAATGTGCAATTAGTAAAATGATAAAATGCTGATTTTTGTCTTATTTCATGCTTTTTTTTTTGTTTTTTTAAATTTTAGGTACTTTTAAGAAAAAAGGATAGAAAAAAATATCTAGATGTTGTGAAGGTAATACTGTTTTCCAGATTGAAATTTCTTTTTGCAGTCTTTTAAAACTGTTTGTGCTTGGTTACTACTATCGCTTAATAGTAAAAACAGTTTTTAGAATATTATGAAGTAAATACAACATTCACAAGACTTAGTGTTTTATTTAGGGGTTGTTTATGGCTAGCACAGATCAGCCAGTAACCCCAATGCAAATTCATTTCCACGCAGGCCCGGAAAATAAAAACATATATGTAACTATATATATCATTAGAACAGCGGTTAGTTCAAACAGTCAAATCATAATAGTAGCACTAGATGGCAACACTTCGGAATTATTGACGAAGCCAACAGCCGACAAAATAATTTCAAGAGCAAATGATTACATTCTTGTTTTTATTGATCCATTACAGATATGTAGATTGCATGTTACATGTCAGCACGACGTGTTCATGTTAAAGAGAAACCAATGGATATGCAGTGTAAGCAAACTCCTCATTCATATACTGAAAAAGTAATGACAAGACTGTATTGCGTAAGCCTACTCGCCATATTTTTATCAATAAATTCAAATATTGGTTTTTGGGAGATCATCTATAGACTACAAAACAAGAGTAGATATTGAATACTATTAAAACTTTGATATTTTCCCTAGCTCCTTTTATCTATTGTTCTAAGCTTGAACAATTGTTTCAGTATCCCGCTTAAACAAAAGGAATGTAATGTATGATTACTCTTGGGTTTAATTGAATCTGGTACCAGAAGCAATGCACACCCTTAATTCAATAATTCAATGTATATACATCACTTGTTGGAACCGTAATAATGTTACAATGATTCAATGACTTATTCAATAGACAATTAAGTTGGAATTTTGCCTGTAGTTACATCAGTTGCACCTTGGCGTCATGACATTATTGGCAGATCAAGGTAAAATCAGTTGTAGTAGCAGACTGTCTGTCTTTATAAAACAAATAAGGTCTGGACAACTACGGGCTGACGGTCCAAATCCGACAGAAACTTTATTCTGATTCTTCCACGAAGTACATAAACCTGTAGGCTGAATTTAATATCCATTATTTAATTACCGATAATCGATCTTTTCTTTAAGAATAGCAGAATTGCACACACTCATTTATAATGTCAGATGGAAATAAACTGGAAAATGATATGGTATATGCGTTTTTACATAATGTAAATACATGTTTATAATGTATATGTGATTATATCACCTTATGGACCTGAGGTAACACAGCCTGGACAAGATCATATGCTAATTCACCTTCGAACGTTGTGTTTAGTGTCAAACGATGAAGGATAAAACGAAGTTTATTAGAGGAAAATGATATAACTAATGCCTTCTGTTTGAGGATTTTTTTATCTGTAGTCTTAAGCCAAACTGGTCTTGAATAAGGCATTACTGATTCCATTGACTCGTACGAGACACTATTGACTTAGTCGATATCGAGTCGGTCAGCGGCAATTATGATTACTTTGATTGTTGTTTCAGTAGTTTTAAAAAGAAAGAGCATGTCGACAGACTAATACATGTATGTTTGTAAATTATCATTAACTGCATTGATTCTTAAGAAGATGAAACATTTAAAATGGTAGCGAGAAAAGGATCATTGTTATGTTCTTTCATATACAAGATATCATGGCGATAAACATAAAATTACCTTTATCTCATTTTTGCTTTAAAGTTTCACCGTAGCAGCCCTTTTATTGCTCACATCAAATTTAGTGGCACTGGTAGATAATTGTCGATTGACCATAAAAAGATAAAAGATTTACGCCTCAGTGTTCACCGTCATAGCATTCTTTATGGTTAAACATTTCCCATTCTCAAGTCTTTGTTCAGTAGAACACTCTCACCACCCATTGATTTTGAACTGGTGTTGTCAATTCTTTTTTCAATAGTTTACTTAAATATTATATTGACAAAGAGATTACCTGAGCAAGGAAAGCATCAACACATACTGAAAATGTTGTAATTATGACCACGATGTTTATACTTTTTTGTCTATAGTTTAGTCCCTGGACACGAAAGAGTAAACTCACACACACCTACACACCCACACACACACACACACACACACGCACACGCACGCCCGCCCGCCCGCCCGCCCGCACGCACGCACGCACGCATATATATCTATAACTAAGGAAACATGTTCATGAGTGTAAAAGGACATATGCCACAAGTCGGAGAGGAAATGCGTATGTAACCGTGTTATTTGGCTCGAAATTAGCATCCTTTTACTGCCGCATTAATTGTTAGGCTATAAATAATTTGTCTTAAATAAACTGTTGAAATGTTATTTAACTATTTTCCAGGAAAATTATGGCGTACCCTGCATCACCATCAAACGTAAGTTACTAGTTATACGTTTATCTCACTAGTGTAAATGACTAATACGCTTCTTGTCTTTGTGTGTCCTTTTTCTAAATAGGTAATGTGTACATAAATCAAGTGCTTTCCTTTCAGCCATGACATGTTTTTGAAAAGTTGAAACCCGTTATTGGGGACATGCTTTGTCCTGTTCAAAATTCGTTTGATATCAAAAAGTGATCATAAAAATATATTCATACTTATTAATGAAATCTTTATAATCTTAAGTGCATGTTTCAGCAAATTTTATGTCATAAGATATTTATACACAGGATTTACTGAAATAGCACTGATAATAGCAAGGCTCCATCCACGTATTGAAAACTTTTCGATGTTCAAAAATAAACAGGAAAGAATAATTCATTTTGTGATTTTCGAAATAATAATTTGCGAGTGTTAAATAGAGGTGGTTGTTGTATGTGGTATTTCTTTTATTCCTTTTAATCATTTTTTCAAAAAACGATCTTTTGCCAGTGTTTTTGTAATTTTATATGAATGATTATAGTGAAAACAATACCATGTACAACAACCAAAGTTTGTGCGACTTGGCTATTCCGAGGATGAAGTGATTTAGTCTGGTGCCCATGTGTGTTTTGTTTACGACCTCAGTTCTGGGACAATAATATGACCTGAAATCAACACTCCCGCTAATTGGTATACAAACCTGACAATTTCAGAAATAAATGATAATTAAAAAATCATTACGCACCGTAACAAACAATATATAGATGTGATATCATCAAACCAATAAATTGATAGAACTCAATGTAAAAATCCAGTTGTTTAAAAAAATCGCGAACTACATATTGCGCATATTAAAACGTATCAGAACTGAATGACAAAATGTGTAAGACAAAATAATTGGCTAGTGTAATTCGTCTGTAATATATACACGGAAAGTGGAGGTAACATTGATATAGAAACCCTGTAGAAATGTATACGTATATGAACACTGATACAGTCAATTCAGGATCTACGCACCAAGAAATATCATTGTTTGTCAATAGTTGGACCTGAATTCTATTTATATGAATGAAAAAGATATTTTTTTTGATGAACGTTAAATGTTATGAAATAAAATAGTATATAGATAATTGCAAACTAAGTTTCATATTACAACCTCACACCAGTTAAAAAGTAACTGTTTCGGATTGTCTTATTTTTCGTCTAAGCTCTGTCAGTTTTGTTGTGTATTCATATCATTCGTTTGTCTAACCACAGATGAGTACTGATTCTAAGCATCAATCTGGAGAAGGTGAAAGCCTAGTCACCCAGTGGAAACAACGACGGATGTCCATCATGTCCAAGGAATCACCCGATGATTCCAAGCCGGTTGTTTCCAATCGCAGGCGTTCCACTTTCAAAGGAATTGCAACATCTATTACGTCCTTGTTGCAAATACGAAGATCAACTAAAGCGCGACTGAGTATTCCTGGAACAGAAGAGTTCAAAACACCAAAGCAAAAAATGGAAAACACATATAAAATGCACCCTGATCCCGGACAAACATTTCAACAAAATACAATTGAATCTATAGCTAAGGAAGTGATGCAGGAAACGTTAGATGATGTCAAGTATAATTCAAGCACCTGCAACAGACTGGTGTGCGACATTTCGCAGACGATTAAAAACAGGGTAAGGAAGCTCAACATGGCACGTTACAGGGTCGTCGTTCACGTTTTTATTGGTCAGCACAATGATCAAAGTATGCAGATGGCCAGTCGGTGTGTCTGGGACGCTTCAACAGATAACTTTTGTACTGCAACATACAAGAACGATTCGCTAGTGGCTGTTGCCTCAGTGTATGGTGTGTACTTTGAATGAAATGAATTATGATTGTTACTTGACAGAATATCACCAGTTATAGTTTGCTGAACACTTCGTAAAATACTAATTAAATTATTAGTAGTATAAACAACATGTAATACCAAGGTAGTGAGTTAAAAAAATAATCGAATTTAACACTTTGTCCACAGAAGAAATAGTCCGTAGAGTTTGGTAGCGAATCTTAAGAAATCATAATATGTAATATTTTAAACAGTTCATTGCTTTGTGGACATATATTCCAGGACAATAAGTAACCATGAAACTTAAAAAAACGAACTGCCACTTATTTTCTGTAGCAGATACCAAGGACAGCAGAATATCTACTAAGTACCTACACACTCAGTCGGGAACGATAAAGTACGGTTACAAAGAACTAAATTAGTCTTGTTTACTTGATTCCTCCTTGATTGGTCCTTTAAGGCGTCCATGTATGTATCGTTTCACTTAATGTATACCTTTTTTTTGTCTGAACTCGTTATGTATTGTTATGACACACAGTACAAGGGGAATTAACTGATTAGTATCATCTACCATCAACCTCCACAACATTGAAAAGCAATAATGAATTCACAGTGCAGCACACCACTGACGAGCTTGGTCAAAAGGAAAAAACATATATAAGTTATGTATTTGTTTTGCAAGAAAACTAATTTACATAAATGTAAATTCTGTATTTCAAGAATACATTTCTTCTTCTTCTTGATCAACATATTCTGAGCATTCCCACTTATAAACCCAAAATCATCGCTCCAAAAGCACAAGTTCGTTAACAAATATAGTATAAAAGGAATTCCTCATGATCAATTGGTTGGCCATTCAAATCGCCCTTCATCCATAGTCCCTGGTCCGTCCATCTGACAAAATATGAACAAACAGAAAGAGCGATTCTTGAAAAAAGGACAATAATAATTAAACCAGTTGTTCCAGGAAAGTAAGCGTCTTATCGATGACAACCGCCATGTAAACCTTGGTCAATCCAAGTAAGTAGTGTCACGTTCTCAGATTAGAAAGTATACAACTACGAAATCATTTAATACAAGCGTTTCATTCATTTTTCGATTAATGTGTATGTTCCTCTTCATCTCTACTTGAGCTCGTTTGATTTCGGGGTTGATCAGACAAACGGTATGAGTGACAGTGGACATCTTTGGTTTTGACAATGAAAGTTGATTTTCGCTATTTCCCGAGAAGAACTGAATAGATCGTTCTCAAATACGTATATGCTCCCATCTGATTTTGGAGCTGATCTGAAAAACAAAATGGTTGACAAGCAACCATTTTGAAATTGGCAGCTAGAGATTACTATCTCTATTTAAAAAGAATGTTCAAATTTCGACTGTGCTATAATCGGAAGTTGATCAATAAAATGAACTTGTATTACACACTGGCATGTCTCATAATATATTTGCACTTGTATAAATTTCGCTGTGTTCTCAGCAATATTACATTATCCATTTAGTGTGAATTTATTCTTTGTGTATAGTTTTCTTTTTCTCCTGTTGATCACTAGTTTCCGTTTCTATTCGCCCTTTTCCGTAACAAGGAATTTCCATTTTGTACTGTTGAAAATGTTATGAGAATGTTATACGATAAAATAATTTTCGGCCTACACTCTTTTTCTGCCTCAGAAAATATCACTTTCTCTAGTCAATAAATGATAGTATTCACCAGTGCCAGATCTATAATTGTATATTAAACTGATTTTATTTGATGGCTTTTACCATGTAATTGGATACAAAATAGTTTAAACGTTCAAACAAAGAAAATACCGACATGCTAGCAAAATTGGGACAAAATATGAACAAAGGAAACTTTTACCACACGAAAACTGCAAGGAGGATAAGACCAGGTTTTCTGCAAGAATTACCATTTTCTGCTTCATCAGCGACCCCGGCCATGTAATTCTTGGTCAATCCAAGGAAGGTTTGTCACTTTCCCACATGAAAGCAAGGCATGCAACAACGATAACAACAGGCAAAACTAACTAATAATCTTCCTTATGCTTCATGGTAGACACTGTATAAATATATTCCTAAGAATAATTTCTAAAAACTTTCCTACATGAGAGCAAGGTATACAACAACGATACCAACAGGCACAGCTAACTAATTATCTTCCTTATACTTCATGGCAGACACTGTAGAAATATATTCCTAATATTGTCTTGACAAAGTCTAATCTAGGATGTGCATATCCAAAATTGTTTGTTGAACGACCTCGAGAAAGTCAGAGTATTGATGACTGGGGAACTCAAGCATGCCACCAAACTGGCATGGGAGCAATTCATATCATACTGACAAAGAGCTAACCGTTCAGACTGATTCTTTGAAGTTAAAACCGGAACAGCAGCAGTAAGTACAATGTTTATGTTTTTATCTGTCTGGATCTAGGTTTGAAAGGTTATTGATCTTTTCTTGTTGTTTTATCACCGAATTAGACTCATTTGCTGTTTTAAAAATCCTATTCCTTTGGCGCTCTTCGCTATTAGTGGTGTTTTAGTGCTTTCAATTAGTTCTCCATTAAAGTCGTTGGCTTTGTCTCCACAAATTCGACCATTTTGGTATTTTAAAATTGTTTTAGTCTCTCCACCGCTCTTCTTTTGGATTCGCAAAGGTTCCAGATATTTTGGTGTCTCAACGATAACTCTTGATGAAATGTTTTTCTAAGGCTCATGTTGTCGTATATCTGTTTCTTTGGTGCTACAGTTAAAACTACATTTTCTAACCTACGGGATAAAAATATGTGGTTTGATCGAATATCTGATAAACTGTTTTGACATACAGACGTGACGGGATCGTTTATTGACGTATCACCAACAAATGTATTACAACCAGTAAATTTTCCCAATAGACTTGACGTTTAAATGTTTACAGTAAGCCTACCTCATAACAAAGCGGTAATTCTTCCCAGAAGACAGCATGATGTTACATTGTTCGACTTTACTCGGATATCGACAGATCTATGTAACAAGTTATACGACTATATTGCCAGTTGTCGCACACCGTTAAGTTCCTTCAATTACATACATCCAAGATTGCAATAGCTTTGGCAGATCCTGTTTTATTTTTTTTGGTATTCCCTATGCATAGTTCTAGATGTCCTTGTTTTAATTAAACTAAACAGGGGAGACAATGACAATGGTTTTCAACCTTAGCGAAATGTCTGAACTGATCGAGTCAGCAGTCTCGGTCATGCTTTTTTCAGTATATCGTTATGCTCATTTGTAAATATCATTCATATGCATTGAGTAATTGTGCAAATAAGTGTGATGTCATGCTTTAGACAATGATGTTACCCCATGGATTGAAAATGTCGCCCGTTTGTTTTTTTCCTCCACAATTTTACTGTAAAAAATGTAAATGTTTAAATATAAATGCAAAAAGCATATTTAGATATGAATTTTGTTATTACATATGAATTTATATGAAACTTGTCTCTTCTAATTTTTATTTTTGCTTTCCGATGCAAGAAAAAAATCATTTCGTAATATGTAATCGTAGTAGGCCTTTTAAACTTAACCCTGCAAATCGGTGGCAATGTATCTAAAAAATACAATCGCTGTCTTAGATTTTTTAGAATACCTAGCTATATAATATTATACCGAAAAAGTCGATTAGTATCTTAAGTGGTCTTTCTCATATACAAATAAATATTTCGTCTTAATTTTCTTCTTATCTTATGTTGTTCCTTTGGTCAACATAAACAATGAAAACGTTGATGTTTTGCTTCAGTAGGATTTCCGTTTGAAGTGCTTCACAAAGATTTCGATCTTCTTGATTGTTGTCAACATAAACGGATAAAATATCGATATAAAACGACAAAACACGTATAAAATATCAACACACAAAGGCAAAGAATGCGCCAAAAGACAACGCACATTTAGAAAACAAATACCACATATATCGTCAGAATACAGAGAAAATTACCACCATAAAACGAACAAAAATGCATTTCATCAATTCATATGAAGGGATATAGTAAATTGTCAACCCCAGATTGAAATTGTTATGGAATCAATATAGCAAGTCATCAAAATAAATTAAAATTGAACAGTAAACTATCAACACATTGTAAAATAGATAAATTTCACTATAATAGATAAATCGTTAACGCACGAGGGTAAAATAAAGCATTCAATCGACCTTCCTAAAACTACTTGTAAGCTCAAAAGATGCATGGGGAATTTCTCTAAATCCGGCAATATTTTTGACATAATACAATAACTTGTCAATAGACAGAGACGACAAACAAAACAAAATCTCAACACACAACAGATACAACAAAACCAATTGTCAATTCACCAGTGAAAATATAGCAAATCATCATTACATGAATACCGAATCTCTCAAACTTTGTCAACAGCGCAATAGGACAGAAACAACTGGAACAAATGAAGAAAAGAAGGTTAATGTACTAGTCACTTTTTCTTTCTGTAATGTGTTGCCATTTTGTTTCCTTTTGTAGCAAAACCTTTCAATTCTTGTTAAGTGACGCTGTGATTTGAACTGTGTCTCTCATTTCTCCTACTGTGGTTAATACAACCACGGCAGGTGATAAATACTGCATATAGACCCCTGTAAGCATTCCACAATCAACTTTACAATGTTTTAAAACACCGAAACAATAAACAGCTTCACATTTCGCTGCAGGTTATAAAGGATCATTAAGACGATTTGTATCAATAAACAAGAATTCAAAGTGCTATTTGATAACAGCCTCATAAGAAATATGCTTAGGAAACAAGGAAGCTATGCTGATTTTTAATAAGATATGATAGCCATGATCTCATATTTGTCGGGAGCGCCAGGAATTCCATGTATTTGCATACGAATGAATTAAAAGATTTTGAATCTGAAAGGAAAAAAGTATGAATAATATTATATGGAACATTTTTGAATATTAATTTCTGTTGTTTTCTGTTAAAATTAAGAATACGTTTTGCTTCTGTAAGATTTCAGATATATTGCAATTGATAGGTCGAATGATATGTAAAAATG